ATGGAAGCATAGTGAGTTACGGTGCTTCTGTTGATAAGACTAAGTGTAGTCAAAGCTAACCTTACATAGCGGCCTCCAACGCGTGTTTCTTCAACCTTGGAGCCCGACTTGCTCGGTTCACTGGCAACACAACTTACTCTGACTACTCTGATAAGAGATGGGACTGGCTCACTGGAGTCGGTTTCGTTGACACTAGTAACTGGAAGGTCTACGACGGGGCACTTGCAGAGAACAACTGCACCCAAATCGGGAAAGCTCAATGGTCTTACACACCAGCCATGCTCATTCAGGGCGCAGCGTTCATGTATAACAACGTAGGTCTTCCTATCCGAGCATCAGTCTCGAGGCTCAGAGAACCATATGACTAATATCGGTGTAGACAAACGGCTCCGAAATCTGGCGTGACCGTGCCGCGGGACTCTCTGACACTCTGTTGAAAGACTTTTTCCCTGACGGCGTCATTTTCGAATCGGCTTGCGAACCAGCTGAGGGTCGCTGTCCCACTGACGCCCTTTTCTACAAAGGATTTGTGCACCGGTGGCTCTCCTCGGCCACTCAACTCGCCCCTTTCTTGGCAGACACATGGCTTCCGGTCTTGAAAACTTCCGCTGAAGCTGCGGTCAAGCAGTGTGAGCCCGGAAATTCGGAGATCAACAATCGCTGCGGCTTCTATTGGACGAGTGGGAGATTTGTCGACCCTATGACGGCTGACAACACTACGGGTATTGGTGAAGGGTTGAGCGTTCTGGCTGCAGTCTCGAATCTGCTCATCAAGGATGCCAAGGCACCGATCGTTGAGGCTGCTAAAAGTGGCGGAAGCACTGGCAACTCTCCTAGCGGCACGACCGGGGGGTCTTCGCCGACTTCGACTACCTCGACGACGGCTAATCCAGGATCAGGAGCTGGGAAACTTGAACTGGATATGAAAATTCCTTTCCTCATCTCATCATTCATGCTTCTGGCTTGGCACCTCTGATTTCAGGTGACGGACTCAGGGCTCAAAACACATATATCTATCCTCAGATGAAGCTTAGACAAGCGTCAGAACAGTCACGTGAAAGACGAGCGAAGGCGTAAGATTCGAACAGGAGTTGAAGATTAAAGATGTAGAGATTGCTATAGCAAGATACTAGTTTGCCGCTCATACAAAGTAAAATACGGCCCCATTTAGCCCTTGCGCCCAACCCAGTCAGCCCCGTGACATTATGCATCATTCCGTCGTAAGCGTCGTAAGTGTAGTCCAAGCCCCGCCTATCTATGAGACCTCCTGGCTTGACCTGCAAACCCCAAATATTCTTGAGTATCTTGTAGTATAATACCAGATTCCTCCTCATTATCCATGACATACCTCGGCATCGTCGCCGATCCCATTCCGATCAAAGTGTTGTGTATATCCTTGGGATTAATTGTGTCTTTTGAGTAGTGACCTTGAGTAGGGTAGTCAAAGGGGAGCACCTGGTCAGTGTCCATGGTGTAAGAGTGGTAGTCGGATGGCACAGTTGATACGACGTCAAAGACGGGCTCAAAGACTTCAAAGCCTGAGGCGTCGAGGCTGTCAAAGTCGTCCACCGTGCCGGAGTGAGAGTAAGTTTGGTAGTCTGCTGGAAGTTGCATGCCCGCGTAGTTAGCCTCGGCGGGTCGACTATTCGATCGGGTTTTCCGAGAGTTGTGTGATGAGGAGGTGACGCCAGATGTGGTAACGTGTTGTGTAGAGTCTGTGGCAAGAGACATGTTGTCCATGCCCCAGTTCTGGTCTTGGTAGCCAGAATTGTGATAAGTATGCGAGCTGTATCCGTGGCCATTTCCAATGGTCCGGCTGTATCCACCGGAGCTCGCAGAAGGGTATGCGCTCGAGGCATCTGTTGATGATGCACTCGGGCTGGATCCGGAAAGCCTTCGGTACTCGCGAGATCTCTCCGAGTCCGCATCGCTTCCGTCAGAGTCGTAGTGCGTGGCGTACCCCCTTTCCCATCTATCCACTGCCTTTTCCATCGCATCAAACATGAGCTGCGTAGGCAAAAGACAGGGAGAATAGGCGTCGTGGTCTGTGCCGTTCAGTTAGCTTGTCATGTCAACTATTTGTAAGTGCGCTTGAGTCAACTTACAAATCTCCACTTTCTTCGCCCAGTCTTCCTGGCCGGGGTAGAGCTTCATCAGAAGCTTGTGGCGATACTTGTAGTCGAGCGATTGCCCACTTGCCCGCACCGAAATGTTCTCCAGAACCCGTTGTTGGTCCTCGGAGAGCAATGGGGGCTCGTGAAGCGACCACACCTTGGTGCAGCTGCGCGAGTGTGATGACTTAGACTCCGCTGGCTTTGAGCCGAATCGGGCTCCACAGTGATGGCACTGCTTGTCACTTCTCAGATGAACTCGCTTGATGTGCTCGCTGGGTTGGGTAAGTCAGAACGCCATACCTGCATGACTTGGACAGGGGTCGTAAACTCACATCAATTTACCGATCCCACCCTTGATGTTTCCATCAGTACAGGAGTTTCGGACATGAGTGAATGCTGCCGGGTTTTTGATGAAAAGAGGGCAGGCCAAGTTGACGCTCTTCTCATCAACGTTGTCCTTGGATTGGTGACGGTGCAGGGGTAGACCCATCTCCCTCCTGAGCTCCGTCATGAGGAAGTCCTTCATGCTGGACCAACCCATTGGTGACTGGGGAGTAGGTTGTTGGATAACATCGACAGGGACATTGGTGCTAAGTTTGGGTCGCTTGACCTCCAAGACCTGGCTGGACTTGCCGTGAGTGACAGACTCACGGCTTCGCTGCCGGACTCGCTTGCTGTTCTCGCCCATGATTGCTAGACGGCCAAAAGTGTGGTTTTCTTGGCTCCTGAAACGCTGCGAGGTTCTCTGTGACCTCTTCTCCTATCTGGTAAATGCGCTGAACACGATGTTCAGTGACCTTGGCCTCGGTTTTGAATCCTTGCTCGGAGAGCTTGATGAGGTTTGCCGGAAATGTGGCTTGCTGTTCCCGAACCCACGCTTCTGTGAGTCTGTTGCTTGGTCCAATGTACTTTGGGTCGCTGCTGACAACCGAGCCGAGTGAATATGAAGGCTGTTGCTGCCGAGTAAAATGACCCTGCGATCTTGTAGATCTACCCTCGACCGAATCGCCAAAGTTAGTTCAACTCTCAATGATTATAGCGTAGTTCCATGGCCAAGGATATGGTTCGGCTTACACCCGATTGGGGATAACTCACCTCTTTGGCGTGTTGTTGAGCACCATTCGGTTCAAGTCAGATAGACATAGAGAGCAGCCATCAACCCGGAACTACACACGAACGCGCAAATACCGGATCCTAGATGATGAAAAAAGACAACAAAGAGTCGTGAACAACTTGAGAACACTCTTGAAGGTGAATTCAGAATGAGAGAGGAAGAGGGAGTCGATCCATGGCTCAACGGGGCGGCTTACGACTAAGAAGCAATCTTCGATCGCAATTGCGATCAGGGCATCCCGGCCCCGTCCGCCACCGCTAACAAGTGCGGTTGGTCGCAATTGAGAATGTGGAAGGGGTACAAAATGAAGCAAACATGTCTCTTGAATCCATGGATTGATTTCCAATCGTTTTGAGGCGATTTGGGTGGGTTGTGGTCGTTCGACATGGCTTCACGGGTGGTCTGGGACGGGATTTTGGCATCGGATCTCACTACGTGGGAAGATTGAACCCAGCAACGATGTTCAACTCAGCGTTTTTCATATGCAAAGACTGTTCAATATTGTTTCTGAATAGTCTCTTTGTGATTGGTCGTAAAAGAACGAGTATTGATTTGCTCTGGCAACTTGCGCACTCGCTTGGCGTCGAAGGGGAGGTCTGGGAGCCAACCGTCCGCGCTTGCATCAAAGAAACCCACGACTACATGTACCCGAACAACACGCAAAAGGATTTCGATCTTTTCTACCACGAATTTGGAAACTCTGAAACTAGTGCCATTACTTCAAATCGAGCCACAATGAGCCCTAGATCACCGTCCAGGGTCGTTTAACTGGTGATCCTATGGACGTGCCCTCGGAGAATTAGCTCAATAGCGCTAGACTCATCCAGGGACCAGGAGTCTGGAATGCTTCTACGGATATTCTAGTACGTGGAAAGGCCAGCGTTGCATCGGCAAGCTTCAAGAGAAGGATGATAGACTTCTTCACCGCCTGATTTAAGGTTTTTTACGGGAGTTCTCAATGGACGAACCCTCTCTATGTGGAACAGCCGATGGATTCCTGTTCCGAGCCTACGGTCTCGTGACAAGGGGTTCATGCGGGCGATCTTGGATCAGGGTCGACGACTTGGCCATCACGAAGGGGTGATCGCAAAGTCGCAAAGTCGCAAAGAAGCAGGAGCAGTTGCACTGATTCTGGAGATGTGAGAGAGTCCCCAAACCCGGGGTTTCGGCAGAGTAGCGGTCAGAAACTGTGTTCCCCTGGCGGAAACGGCCGTGTGAAGCGCGCTTCTGTGCAGGCCTACTACTAGTGGCCAAGCGGACTGGATCTCTGCTGTTCCGGCCGTCGCCATTTTGCCGCTCCGGATGCTTCGACGCGGGGTGGTGTTCCCAACGACGGGTAAAAACATCTGCCCTGCCCTCCATCTCTCTGCCACATAAATTACATAAACCACCCACTCGTTTCGATTGTTTCGACATGGATGCCCAGTAGGATGATTGCCACACCCTTGCTTGGATCCGATCCACCAAAGGCCGATTTGCTCCGTGTCCCTGGATCTGTGCTCCGCTGGTCCCATACCCATCGATTCCGAGTCGCTGGGTCGAGGTAGGACAAGACGCCTCGCCATTGGAAGAGGCGCAGCAACCTGCGACGCTGCCCCTGATTCCGATGGAGACTTTGAAGCGGTGTGAGCACGCTTGATGCAGTTTACCCATGACCGCGGTACCAACAACCAGGTTTGCCAACGACAAGATTGGCATCCCGGATCCTTCAAACCCTAGTCTTCAGTCCGCGGCGCAGTCTTGCTTGTAATTCGCGCTGGAGCCGTTACTTGTCAGTCACAAAAGCCTTCACGAAAAGTGGCCAACTTACCTTGACGAGACGAGCAATTACGGGATCGGAGGCAGACTGACGTAGGACGCGCAAGATCATGCAGGCGTAATCTCTTGAACCAACAAAGTGTGAATGGTTGCACGATTCCGGCGCGAATTTGTGTCGCCGAAAGAAGACGCCGCAATATGGACCAGAAGCGGTACAGAGATCCCAACCTCCACCCTGTCCTCAACGCATTCGTCTGGTCACCTGCTCTTCCTTCGATGGGGTCGATGCTGATCGGCCCTGGCGCTCTCAAGTCCGTGGAGTGATGTTGTCGGAAGGTCGCCGAGAGGCTGATGATGATGGCTCGCTCGCTATGACCTATTAGGCCACCGCCCTTGGTCGGCAGCGAGCGCCAATACGTTGAGAAGCGTTTTTGCGATACGTCAAGAAGGCGAAGCTTCAATCAATCATCTTTTGAACTGAAAGCACACCGTGGTCGACGGACCCCAGCTTCTTGACCTGTTCGGCTGGCCATTGAAGCCATTGGGCGTACTGAGATGGTAGAGTAACGAACAGCCCTTTCATGAGATGCTCCGACCAGCCTTGCATGAACCAGAAATGTTCGAGGGTTTGAACCAGGACATTGAAGTGCCCTAGCAATATCAGGGATAGCGCTTCCTTTTGCTGGATGCGAATTACAAAGTCGTCGCTCATGCTATACAGCCATCGCATAACGACCTCAAATCGGCCCTGGACGTGCGCCTCCGGCTCCGCTTCAGTGCCAAATGTTTGCTTGAAGCAGTCCTTGAGCAAGTCAAGTGAGATTGTGTACATTTGGCGCTCGGGTTCAGGCGTGGTGGCCACCAAATCGGCGAGCTCTTCGAACCGTTGTTCCCATGAGACCATCTTGTGCACGGGGTCGGGCAGTGGCGGACAGTGAGTCCAGGTATGTTCGAAAGATATGTTTCCGTCATCCCAGCCCGCGATGATGGCTTGTATACCCATCTTCTGGACGACTATACGGACTCCTCGGAGTAATCCCCACCATGGAACCTCGCCGTCCGCTGCGAGGACTAGGAGATGCCCTGGGCTTGGCTTCTTCGCAAACGTGTAGAGGCAGACGAGCACCGTGGTATGGTATAGCGCTTGACAGTTGTCTATATTGATATTCGGCATAAGGTTCGTGATCGCCGGTAGGGCACTTGTGGAGTGCCGCTCTGCGAGGGTCTCGTACCGCAGGGCCTCTGCTGGCCGGAGTCTAGCGAGGTGCTGTGCTGATATCGCCAGAACCATGTGGAAGACGTATTGATGTTGGAAGCCCAGCCGGGGCACATATTCTCGCCATACACGTGCTTCACCAAGGGTAATTGCTGTATGGCACATGTAGTGATGCAGGAGTTCCAGATCGTCCCGGTTTAACACCGCGGGGGCGATGGAGGAGAAGGAGGGCTCGGCGGACGTTGTAGGGGCCGGTGTACGCGGTGTCTTGGTCGCATCGGATTCGGAGGCACTCGGTGTCGGTAACTTCCGGACAGCGTCCCAGTCCTTTCGAGGACGGCCCCGTTTTCGCGGTGCCGGTGGCGGCACTGGTGGCGAGAGGCCGGTAGGAGATTGGGTGAGTAGGTTTGTGGGCGGAGGAGAGAAGTCGCAGTGCATCGAGAATCTCAGACAGTTGCCACATTCAGGCTTGGTCTCATCGCACTGTCAGGTCCATTACAGTCAGCATTGATTACTATTCAAAGTCCAATTGCGCGGTATGCGTGGGTAGACAGCGATTCAGCGTCACGAGAAGGTATGGAGACACGCGCCTTGACTTTTCTCCTTTTACAATTGTGGCACCCATTGCGAGACTTCTTATGAGATCTTCTCTTATTCTTACGACACGTCCCGCAGCAGCAACCACTGCCGCTCGTGTGCTTGTCCGACGCCGTGCATACTGATGCTGTCGGGCCGGTCTCGTTCTGGCCCTCGTTCATGGTTCGCGATCGTGGGGCGGCGCTCGTCGAGCGTGGATTCGGTTAGGCTGGGTAGCGGTTAGGTAAGGTATGGGACGGTAGCTCGAGCGGGACGGCCTCGTCCATTCCTACGAGCGCATTCCGCATATGATGTCGCTTGGCATCAGTTTGGGGTAGCTGGGAGTCAGCATTGGATTAGTCGACACATAATCCAGCGCCTCAAAGAGCTTGAAGAATTGCAGAATGTCGACTTGGCCTGCTCCAAAGCTGTTCGGCAACCTCCCCGCACGTGGGTCCACGGCCTCGCTTTCGGGGTCTCGGATGATTTATCGTATTTGATCCGAGAATTGATCCGGTTTAATTGGCTGAGCGACGCTCACTCTCCCAATGAGATGAATCCCTGTCCTCAAGATCTCATCAATTGAACCTTTCTTATTTCGGCCTACTGCAGGCTGCTTCTGTGCTTGGACTATGAGACTCGAATGATCCAATAATTTTGATTCGAACAGGCTCCGACTTCTCATATCAGGCCCAACAGCAAACATCGTCATCCAACTCAACACCTGAGCCACGATGCCCAAAATCAATCCTCCATTCGACATCCTGAATTCCGCCGCAAAATGAACCTCATGGATAATTCTCCGCCAAGTTGGCGCAACAGAGATGAAGTCCCTTTTATATCTCAAATCTTCTCTGACGTTCCATAATAAGTATGATCGTCATAGACCCCAGCTAAATTCAGCGTTTCAGTCTTACAGCTGTTAGCAATCAAGGCAATTAAGGTAGGTACATCTAACAAAATTGACGTTCTATTGCATTCGAGTAACTTCTATATCAAATCTGGGGTATCAACCTCTAGCCTTGTGTATCAAATGGGTATCTCTAAGTCATGCTCGCGTTCTACATCCAGGTCTTCGTATTAACGACCCCTCTCAAGTCTAACTCGTACTCTGCATTTGCCTCTCTTCGGAAACTCCTGATGCTCATCGGGGTCATCGGCGTTCTAGGAGCCTGCAATGTGGCGCTATCTCTCCACGGAGGCTGATAACTAAGCGGCTGTAATGGCGCTGGTGGCAGTGGCTTCATCCTCGGATCGAGATGCTCCGAAATGTGAACCTTGATCATGAATGAGTCCTCTGAAGGCGAGGGCTCGGGGGATGGTACCGTTCGGGGCCGTGATGTGATGACGGGAGCTGGAGCAACAGGCTTCTTGTCTCCGAATGAAAGCCGGCTGCTTGCTCTGTTCAAAGTTTCCTTGACTTCAACCGTCGGGCGTGTGCCTCGGATAGTCGTGAGAAGTCCCGGGATCTTCTTGAGGAGAGGTCGTAATGCAGGAAGACTACCGCACATCAAGGCGCACGAGATCTCGGCCATGCTCCATGTCACCACATCGACGTTATCCCCTGGCTATGTCAGTCCCTTGCTTGGGATGTAGTCTAGCGCCTGAACTTACATGTGGTGTCATAAGACTCCGCAAACAGTACGAGCCAGCGCAATCGCACAATGGAAGTGATGCATGCGCTGAAAGAGATCTGAGTTAGCCGAAAGACTCGAAGTTTCAATGCAGCGCTAGGACTCACAATGATCCAAGACTCAACATGAAGCCAACCGCAATCTTCTTTTTGAAACCCAATTGGAGCCTGCTGAGCTGCTGGATGGGCATGGCGAAAATGACGATATCCTCAACGATGCTGAGAATTGCGCTGGCCATAGCAACGGCGTTGACATTGACGCATTTGCGCTCGATAGTTCGGTCCCAGATTCCAGCGATGGGGGCACATTCGAACATGATGACAAAGAGAAAGACCAGTCCATGGCCGACGAGGAATACAAATACCAGTTTGTTGATGATTTGGAACTTGCGATCGGGGAACACGCGGGCGAAAAGGGCAACGATGGACAGCTTTGCTAGGATGAGGACGACGACGTAAAGCATTTGAACAGCGTAGTAGAGCTATGATCAGTCCATTAGTGACATTGAGCTTCGTAGTCGCGCGGCATGTTCAACCTACTTGAAGAATCTTCTGGGCATTTTCCGGGTTCACGTTCCAGTAATGAAGCCCGAAGCCAAGATCGGCGGCTTTGAAAAGTCAGCAACTGAGTTGTACCAAAAGCAATATAGACGACGGCGTGGAATACTCACTCGCAACTACGCAACCAAGGGTGGTAGCTAGTATAGCCTATGATAGATATCAGTCGCTGAGGACTAGGTGAAGTATAGTTGAGACATCAATCAACTTACGGCAGTGACTATCGTCATCCAATCATCGAGCTCTAGGCGGCTTGCTATAATCCATCTCGAAACCAATCTCAATATCACAATCGGAAAGGTTATCACGGCCAACACCGCCACGACCAGCTTGATTTCGGTGTCTCGAGATGGATGAGGGTAAGGACGGCAGAGGTCATCCGTCATATAAGATAATGCTAAAATTCATCAGTAAAAGCCAGGCTAGGTACGCCAAGCTGAGAACTCACACAGCTGATCTTGCCAGCTACACGATGTTTGCACGCATCCAGATAGTCCATCTAGGAGGGTGACGTTAGTGCAAACACATGAGGCGATGTTGTCTAGTCCGCAGCCTGAACTGAAAAACGCTGTCGTAACACAAGAGACCTGCCATAGGGTGAGATGAAGTCAACTGGAGTCTGAAGGTATCGACACTTACGGCGCATTGAGGGATCTGAGACATGAGCTCCAACGGAGAAGTTGCTGCATTCGTGCTGTCTTGGCCGAGAACGGTACCTGCTACCCAAGGTAGCAGCGCAAGGAACCACCGCATGTGGTTCTTCATGGTTATATGAAACGTGGAAGAACCAGAATACGGGGACCTATCGAGTTCTTGTTTATCTGAAGAGTGTTATCCAGCCCGAATATACGTCTCGGGAGACTCGGGGCATCGTTCCTAAATGCGGCTTTCGGCGACTCCAGCAAGCACGCATGAGACGGGAGTCGAACCAGAGGAGAGCTTGGCCTTGAGATAAGTATGTTGAATCATCGTGCCTCGGACGGACTTGACAGCCCGGATCCAAGATTCGAATGCCCTTGGATATCCGCAAACCGTTGGTCAATGTCTATTTCCGACTAGGTTCTCATGTACGCGAGCCCTGCGAGTCTGTCATCTGCATCTTGGCAGAGAGCCCAGAAATACTACACATGCATGCAAAGCGTCTGATATTGATTCGACCCACGCGAGTATTCTTGAGTTGGGGTTACAATAGTCTCCGAACAAGGCAAAACGCTATGAGCCTCGCAGCTCAATTCGGCATGAGCGACCAC